AATTCCCACATAGTTTTTCCCATCTTTTCCCACATAGTTTTTCCCATATTCTTCCCATATAGTTTTTCCCATCTTCTTCCCACATAGTTTTTCCATCTTCTTCCCACATAGTTTTTCCCATCTTTTTCCTACATAGTTTTTCCCATTTAATTCGCACATAGTTTTTCTATGGTGTATCTTCGGAGGAGTGGGAGGAAATAAAAGTAAACTTTATGTTCTTGCTATGCTTTAAGCTGAAACGTCGTCTAAAGCTGTATGAGATGCAAATGATCCATTTTCCATGGGAATGCATAATCTGCCGTGAACGGGGTAGTCAGTTGCTGGAGGATTGTCAGAATTGTGCAGTTATTAGTTTTTGCAAAAATCATAAGGATAGCATTCAGCATAAGGACATCTGTAATTCGCTGAGACTATATCTTCATTTGGACTTGTTAAATATGAATAAGAAAAGTCAGCTTCTGGACCTATACTACTTGCAATGTGTTTCCAATACAGATATATTTCAGGATATGAATGAATTTATAAATTCTTATGCAAACGTTCAGACTCAGTTGGAAATGTCATCTAGTATTTCGATAGCCAGACATTCACAATATTTTACACGACCATTGACGTTATTTTATGCTATGAAAATACTAGACTACATCCCAAAATGTAATAAAGATCTGATTGTTTATGTTGTAGCTGCGAATTTCATTGAAGAAAATACTGAGGAAACTTGGGAAGTCTTGCTGCATTTAATAAGGAACATAATGTTACTAACAATTGATTGGGTCAGAATTGAAACATAAAACAAGCCCTGAGACAATTTCTGTTTGCTCCAACTGTATGTTGCAGAGAAAAGTACTTTTATTGGAATTTCATGACGTGTTGTATGAAAACTACATGCACAGTCCATCATTTGTAAAACCGGATCTAGTCATAGGATTTAACGCTGGCATCCAGAAGAAAGAGCCTGGGTCTGCTGCAAAAACATGGACGCCGTCCATACGAATATTAGTGGAACAAAATTGTCCCTTTATCTTGACATGCTACGTCCGAGAAGAAATAAAACATGAAATAGAATAAATATTATGCTAGAAAAGAAAGTGGATTATCTCTACTGTGGAAAAAATCTGTTTGCTTGCCTAAGGTTGTACAGAGTCTATGGATGTGAACAAGTGTTTTATCAAAATCAGTATATGATTATTTACAGAAATCTTTATTCATAATTCATGTGTGTAATTAAGCAATGATATAAAAAGTATCAACATTCTAGCAAATATGAACTAATAACAATATTACAGTAATATTATAATTTCTCATTCAACAAAATAACTATTATAAAGTAACTATTATGTGTTATGTTACATTTATATTGTTAAATGAGAAATAATATTAATGTAATTTTATTGTTAGTTGATATTACTATATTATTTATTTCAAAGTGCCTTAAAGCTAACATAACTAAAAACACTTTAAATACATCTTTTATAAAGTAGATTAGCAATGTTTGATGATAAACAAAGTGTCATAATAGCAGGTTTGTATTATTTCTACAAGGACACAAAATAATATTTAATGCATAATAAACAGAAAAAATATTTTTATAAGAAAGCTTTGTGCATTGCAACTGCAACTGTTAATTGCAACAATGTTTCAAAATTAATTTCAATGTCTATTTCTACCAATATACAATAGATTAACTTTAGTTTTTATTTAATTGCCTTTATCCTTTTTAATTTTTAGTCGAAAAAGGATAAAAAGTAAATTAAATCGAAATTAAAGTTAATTTACATTTGTAGAAATGGACATTGGAATGGAAGAAATAGTTTGCTGATTGTTCGAAAGTCATACAGTAAATTCAATCATCAGCATTACGTGTTAGTACATATAATGCAACGATATATAAAAAGTGGCTTGTACACAATTATAATAATAGGCCTATTATTTTTAGTTGAATTTCTTGCATAATTCATCTCTCTTTCTTTTCTCTCTATTTGGAAAAGAGAAAAAAAAAAGATGAACTGTGTAAGAAGTTCAACTGAGAGGAACAGACCTATTATAAAACATTGTTCATCAAAATAGTATAATTTAAAGATCAAAAACGAATAAGTAAAAATGTCAAGATTAAACTAAAAACCGTTTTATGATTTAGACATTTTTATTTTAATCTTTATATCTTTATTTCTTGCTTGTCTGGTTTTCAAATTATATTTTTTTTTTATATGCTGGGCTAGTTTTAGACATATAAATATACTATAATTATATTTTTTGATAAAACAACGTAATATTAATGTTATTTTTGTCAACTATATTTTTTATAATAAAATTATATATAAAGAAAATATTTCAAAATATAATCATTCAAAGTAATTCTCCCTATCAATTTTTTCCATGATCCCCAATTGTCACATGTCACTCGTGTGACAGCTATCCACGATAGTTGATGATCAAAACAATGGCGGAAATCGAATGGCCCTGGCAATATAGTTTCCCTCCGTTTTTTACGTGAGTACTGTTTCAGGAAGCGTTGGTTTCAATGAGATTATTAATTTTAACAATAACAACATAAATTATTAGCCGAGTTTGACATAATCTATTGTTCTAATAAATATCTGTCTGCTGCATTAGGTTAGGAACATAGATTGCAGCCAGAGGTATATTCTGGCAACAATAAGTTTATTTTTATATTTGTAAACTGAATATAGAATATGTTACATGTGAAATGAAAAATTAATACTATTTATTATTTAAGATTAATGAAAGCAAGAAGAAAAGTTTAGTATACTCATAAAGACCAGGTCTTATATAAAGCTCAAGATATGTATAATCACGATTTTGTTTATTGCAGGCTTCAGCCTCATGCAGACACCAGAGCTAAGCAAATAGCGGCCTGGAAAAGTCTGATACTTGAATATTATCGTATCACGAAGCAGGCGATCGTGGACATACGCGAAGTGCACATAAATCCTTTATTCAATAATACTAGTATAAATAGTATCCTTTCTATTCGTTGTATCGAATCACAATTGTCTTGTTTCTTCATTATACTTAATACTCACTATCTTGCCTTAATTTTTAGCATATATCTGTTTATTATAAATTTACTTTTTATTAACTTATGATTCTAATTATAATAATTTATCTAATTGTTATTGTAAGCTCCTTAATAGTTCATAATAGGAAGATTACCATCCGAAGCTGTGCTAATGATATTGGAAGAATTAGGAAAATCAGGAAATGCGTCTCCATTGGATAAGACCAAACAGAGATGGTTGATTTATTGGCATACTTTAGAGGAATGGGGTGACATAATATATAACTGGGCACAGGAGAATGGCTTTGTCGGCTCTGTATGCACATTTTTTGAACTAACGCAAGGGGAAGACACAATTGAACAAGGTAAAATCATAAAATCTACATTATTTATTGATATCATCATGAATAATCATAAATAAATGTATTTTGTTTTAGAGTTTCATGGTTTGGATACAGAAGTACTAATCAGATCACTCAGGACATTAGAAGCCGCCAGGAAGGCAGAGATTATTCAATTTGATGACAATCAAGGTGTTAAATTTTTCTAACGTTTGGAAAATATTATTGTTATTTGTCAAAAATCGCACGAGTATACAAGTTATATTTAACGTGCTCTTATTTAATATATGCGTTTAGATATATATATATAATTTGTGGAATAAATTCTTGACATTAGTGGATTAATTCTTTTAAGTGATGTAAAGAAAGTAACATTGCTCATAAGTGCAAACATTTATTTAACACAATATCAGCAGTACATTGTTTTTCTTTTTTTTTCTTAATAAAAAAAAAACCAAAATCTCGACTGCTAAGCTAACTTGGAATTTGAATGTGGGAACGCATGATGTATTTCGAGTATGAAATTGAATTGTATCCAGTTACATAGCTCTTAAGATACATAAATCGTACACGGCACATGTTTAGTCGAAACCGGAGAACATTTCGAAATTGCGAAATAAATACAAAGCTTTTTGTGCCAAAGTCAAGGTGCTAAAATCAAAACGAACGAATTCTAGAACTTAAAATGTGTTTACGTTTCCCTTGTATAAATTATAAAATTCTTGCGTTAAGTGTTAACTTAAAGAAAGAAAGTGATTATTCTAAGCGCCCTAATTTAATTGAAAATTTTGAAGTAAATTTCTACAAGGCACTGTGATCACATGTTTTTACGAAATACTTCGCTTCACAACTACAGTATTTAAATAACTAGAATACTTTGTGTCAGAGTTAGTATATATATATGTATCGTGATGTACCTTTTATTCTCGAGTTTCGATAAGAAAAGAATGAGAAATGAAAATTAAACTGAAATAATATCTAAGATACTTTATAGACATATATACAGCATACTTGCTTGACATCTTTTTACGAATGGCATGCGAAGTAATTTAAAAATAAAAAGACCATGGACTATTCTGTGGAATTTAACCAAAAATTTTTATACGATTAGTTCGCGTGATTTTTTCAATTGGATTTTTAAAAAATAAATTCGACATTAGACAGCGCATTAGTACACAACACGCATCCTGTTTACAAGATCAAGAAAGAGAGAAGTAGCTAGTGATTTACGATCGCAATTGTGTTCCACTACGAATATGAACATGATCTGAATTGTTATTTACAAGACGACATGACTTCGCCGTATTCAGTTCTTCTCCCCTCTCATTTCCACAGGCGTTGTTATTTTTCTTTTAAACAGCAGAATATGTGGTTCTGAAACAAAATATTTAATGAAGATCTTCATTTGGTGATGAGTCAAATATCAGAATATTGTATTAGGTATATACCAGGATCATGAATCATATAATGCACCCATCCTTGACTTTGCTGGACTCCAATAGCTCTCCATTCTTGTTCAGAAAGCAGATGAGTTCGTGGCACCAGTTTCACCATTTCTTTTGGTAAAACGACATGCCTGAAAAATTCACAAGGAAAGAATGAAATTAAAAAATTAATGGACAAATAGTATACTTAGATTAAAGATACTCAAACATAGGAAGGCATCGTTTAGAATTTTTGATACTTAACGTTTTCTCATTTTTTAATTCATTTAAGTTTAAGAACAATTACTTTTGCAAATTGCATATTATCTTTAATGCTTTTGAAATGAAAATGACAAATGTGTATAATAAATTTTACCTATGAAATCTCAAATCTCTTTTAGATGTTCATAATTTGAGAAAAGAAACAAGAGATTAAGTCATTTGTTGATTTAGAAAGAACGTAATCTTTTAACACTTAAAAATAAACATTAAAAATCACGATATGATTTTTAACTGTAATTTCGCATTATTTATTTTCATTTTTTCTCATAATCGTCTTTATAATATGAACAAGTCTGCGCAAAATCTATGTTGATTGACAAAGATTGATCTAACCGGCGATTTAATCCGAACTAGATTTACAATCCAAATTCGAATCTCAAACAATAGTGGAATCTCGCTGTGAATGGAGAGGGTCAGCTTGGCGAACTTTCTCGATCGACCATTTAAACGTTTCGATCTCAAAGTCACCGAGAAATAAAAAAAATTAAAGATAAACAGGAGAGAAGGAAAAAAACAAAAAAATGACACAAAGCGAAATGGATGACACATAAAAGAGATAAGAAACAGAACATTAGCCGTCTCAGCTTGCTATTTTTTTAAAAGGGGAGACGCCATTGCGTCTTATTTTGCGTGCAAAGGGGGGCCGCGTTTTGAGAACTCACGCAGGGTACGGATATTACCCACCTATACTCGTATTTATCGTCGTAATATTTGTCGGAATAGTAAATGTCGTGTGGCATCGCGTCCTTCGACTCCGTGATGACGTGAGATAAAGGAATGACACCAGACCAGGATCACTGCGCGCGCTCCGGCCTAGAAGACACGGCGAGCCCTTCGAAAAACCACCCTCGACCGCGTGCGTTCGTATGCTCTCTAATTTGAAAGTTCTAACGGATATATCGGCCGAGCGACGGTGCACCGAGTTAGGGACTCGTGAGTCAAGGAAGAGTCTTTTTCTTCCTTCGAGACACCTCAGATTTCGAACTTCTCGACCACGGAATGGCGCAAGCGGGGCAGAGAAACGCGATGAATTTGCGAGGATTTGCGATCCCGCCGACGATTTTTTACAATTTTTGTGACGCCTCGACGATGAATTATCTCCCACGTTGACTCACGTAGTCCGGAATCAGCTGCGTCGACCACAATAGATAGCGCGCGTGTCGAAACTCTCTTCCGATTCGTTTTATCTCTCTCTCTCTCTCTCTCTCTCTCTCGCGGGAGAGAAATGAGGTTAGGTGTCGCAGAGAAGATTTTCGTCCATTTATTTTTTTCTTACGTCGGCGCGATGGAGAGATACTCACGCGATCGCGGTACTCACAGGTCCAGGAAGGAGCGGGAGGATGATTACAGGAGTGAGGAACGAACGTCGCGGAGAGATCGCGATCGTGCAGAGCGATCCGAAGGCTCGCGATCTAGACGAGAACAGGGGAGATTTAGGGAAAGGCATAAAAACTCAAGGGACGATAATTCCCGCACGCGTCGTGACTTGTCTCGGAGAAAATCTTCTAAGCGGAAGAACGAGGAACGAAAACGAAAGAGGTAAGCTGTTTTTTTTAATTTTAGGTTATCCCGTGAGATACTGTGTTCTCGCAGCGAGGTCTATACAGTGTATATTTTTTATTTAGGGAATCGTCCTCATCGTCCACATCCTCATCTTCGTCCGACTCGACCAGTAAGTCCAGTGATGACATGTCTACGGATTCATCCTCGGATTCTACAAAGTTGTTGGAAAAATTACAAAAGCAACGACAGAAACAGCTGGAAGAGCGTAAACGGCAGAAGGAACTGATGAAAGCAACAGAAACGCCGGAGGAGAAGCGCCTACGTCGCCTGAAGAAGAAGGAAGCCAAGGAACGTAGGCGCAAGGAGAGAATGGGCTGGGATAATGACTACTTACATTATACAAATACAGATAATCCATTCGGAGATGGCAATATTCTGTCTACCTTTGTCTGGTCAAAAAAATTAGGAAAGGAAGGTTTACTTGGTGTGGGTAGAGAAGAATTGGAGATTCGTAATAGACACAAACAAGAAGAAAATAAAAGAGAGCTGGAGAAGGTGAAGAAGAGGAGACAAGAAAGGGAATTGGAACGATCACAAAGGGAAGAAGAGATGACCATGTTGCAGAGAGGCAAGGAGGCTGCTCAGTTAGAGCAATGGGCCCGGCAGGAAGATCAGTTTCACCTTGAGCAAGCTAGACTGAGATCTCGTATCAGGATTCAAGATGGTCGAGCGAAACCTATCGATCTTCTTGCCAAATACATCAGTGCGGAGGAAGAGGTTGATGCAGTGGAAATGCATGAGCCATATACATACCTACGAGGCTTGCACGTGAAAGATTTGGAGGATCTAATAGAGGACATAAAAGTTTATAAGGAACTGGAAAGAGGCAAGAATTTAGATTACTGGAATGATATAACAGTGATTGTGGAAGACGAGTTGCATAAGCTCAGAAAATTGGAACGGACGGAATATGAAGTTGGTAAGAAAAATGATTTTTTTCTTTTTCTCTATTTTTATTATTCTTATTCATATGCATTATACCGCTCTTTCTTTTTTCAGCTGTTGGCAGAAGAGAAGGAATTCATGAGTCGGTCGCCAAAGATGTCACGGCTATTTTTAAGGGCAAGACTGCGGCACAATTGGAAGCCTTACAATTACAGATTCAGGCGAAAATTACAGGGAAGCCAGAAGGTGTCGATATTGGATATTGGGAAAGCCTTTTGTCTCAATTAAAAGGTAAGATATGATATATATGATATAAGAATGCTTTCGAAAACTTCAAATAATAATACATACGATTCACATGAAGTATTAAACATATAGCCCACATGGCGAGGGCGCGACTTAGAGATCGGCATCAAGAGAACTTGCGTAAAAAGTTGGAGGTTTTGATTGCGGAGCAAGGTGTGGCCAGAGCGGAGAACGAGGCAGAAGGTTCACAGACACAGGAGAGTGAATCCACCATAAAGCAAGATGAACCTTCCACAAGCACAGCTGTTGAAAAGAATGAAGATAGTCAATCTGAGTAAATATCCTATTTTTTTAACTGAATTTTTTTCTTTGTTATATTGAAATTTGATTCTTTATCTTTTCCCTGCCGATAACAAAAAATGTATAATTATACCGTGTGTTTCAGTGATGATCAAGAGGAGACGAACGCCGCCGACGATCTGTTGTCCGAATCCTTCCGCGAATACGAAGCGGGAGGCTACTCGCCAATTTATATACCCTACTCGCAGCTTGAACCAGGTACATTGGTTACACAGGAGGACGAAGATAACCAACGATTGGAATACGCGAGGCAACAAGTTCTCAGCACTGGCAGGAAAATTCAAAACGTGCTGACGACCGAGGAGCAAGCCATGCACCGGGAGGCACGCAAGGGCATGGGTTCGGACGAGGCACAGTTCAGCGTCGAGTCGTCATTGGAGGCGCAGATTTACTTATGGTCCGATAAGTATCGGCCGCGTAAACCGCGTTACTTCAATCGCGTGCACACCGGTTTCGAATGGAACAAATACAATCAGACGCACTACGACATGGATAATCCACCGCCGAAAATCGTACAGGGCTACAAGTTCAATATCTTCTATCCGGATCTCATCGATAAAAATACCACGCCGGAATACTTCCTCGTAAGATACTTTTTTCTTGCAAAATTATGATTTTTTTGTATTAGCATTAACAATTTAAATATGAGATATTAACATCAACGAAATTAAATATTTTAATTTCGTTGATGTTAATATCTCAGTTAAGTAATCCCAGACTTTTATTTTCAGACACCCTGCGCCGATAATAAAGATTTCGCCATTCTACGATTCCATGCTGGTCCACCCTACGAGGACATCGCGTTCAAGATCGTTAATCGTGAATGGGAATACTCGTACAAACGTGGATTCAGATGTCAATTTCATAACAATATTTTTCAATTGTGGTTCCACTTTAAAAGATACAGATACCGCCGATAATATATATATATATATTGTTATATAATACTTATTTTTTATGGAGACAATTTGTATATATTCCGTATCGTTCCATTGTACAATATAACGCGACCGAATTTTTTAATATTATACTTAATAAAAAAAAAAAGAATAAAAAAGATCTCTATTAAATAGCAGTGGCTCTATTACAACGTAACGTGCGGCTTCCGTAGGTTGCAATTGCGCCTAGTTTTATCGCTCTCTCGAACGACTTCCGCACGATGAGAACACACGTCGGGCGCGGTATAATCCTTTTAAACGACGTGGCGTTGGATCGATTTTTCGTCTGCCACCTGTGTACTGTCACACAGTCGACCGCACACTCATACATATATAGCAAGGTAAAAGCTATGCGAAGCTAATGGCAAGGTAAAGCCGAGCTCGCAGTGCGCCGCGTAATTCGATGGCAAGGAGCTGCGCGTCGTCGGGACCCTCGCTTCCGTTTTACGCTTACGCACAATTAAAAATAAATGATTGTTTGGAATGCGCGTCGATTGCCATAGCCGTTTTTAACATTTTTGTGTTGTGCGATTTGCGAAACAGGAAAGCGTTCCCGTATTTTTATCGCGAATAATGTAATCGCAGTTATTCTTCGGCGTCGCATCATTTCTTTAAATAAATATTATAATTTTAATTAAATTTCCTGTGGGATACTCGCGATAATTCATTCGAAACACAGACATCGGAACGTTACTTACTACTTATTTGTCAGATGGAAAATACTGTACATTCGTGACGTCAACTGAGTAATTCGCATTTGAAGAAAAGCGACGACTGTGTCAGAGATATAAGCGAAAGTTAGTAGGCAATGGGAAATATTTCCCAGCACGAAGTTTCTCCGGAACGTCGCCGATAAGACAAACGGAATGACGTTTTATGACTTCCAAATGATGAAATTGAAGTGCAGCTGATTGAAAACTTTAGCTAACTTCTTTTTTTCTTTTAAATTGATTTTATTTTTCGATGCGAAAGCAAACTTACAGATGCGTTCGCAAAAGAAAGCTTAATCGCTTATCGTCGGCAAAGAATACTATAATGTTCGCGAAGAACTCTCGTATCCGCGATCTGTGAGAATTGCGATATCGATAGGATCGTCATGAAGTGGAAGAAAGGACCGTGCGAGTTCCTGTCGCAGAAAACGTTCCTCATAATAAAGGATGACTTGGATATCTCGAAAGGTAATGCTTATTCGTATTCATTGCGTCAGCAACATTTTTTTAATCCATTCCTAAAATGGCACATTGATTATATCAATTCAAAAGCAAATTACCTAAGGATTTGATTTGATTGATTCTTTCCGAGATGTACAATATGCTAACGTGCTAATCCATTGAAAACCTACATTCTATTTTTGAAATGAAATCTTACGTAAATGAAGCTACACACGATAACGATATAGTCTTCTTATTAGAGTTATAGTCTTCTTTTAAGTATTCTTCCGTAGCATCTTTCAATTTACTTCCAAGCAGTTTCTAAGAATTAATTGTCGAAATTGCCTGGTAACTGCAGTATTTGAAAAATGAATGAATGCACATAAACTTGAAACTTTTCGCGACTATGGCTTTCAATGGGTTAATCGATCTACGTTCTACATCGTCGACGTTTCAAGTCAACGATAGATCATCTCCGTCTAAATAGATTCGACCAAGGCAACAGGCGGCAGGAAGAAGGCAGCGACGAAAAATGCGGTGCATACCGGTACCTGGCCGCCGAAGATGAAGCGCGTGGCGTTCTGCGGGGAGGAGCCGCAGAGACCGAAGACGGCGAATCTCGCGAGGCCGAGCGTCCTGGACCCCGCGCTCGTGGATAAACTCGACATGTCATTGCTCAGTAAGGAATTGCTCTGCGACTCGATGACGCGTATTCATCGGTCATTCGTGAATGACAAGTCGGTCGGTGGGGGCATGACAACGACATTGTCGTCGTCGTCGTCGTCGTCGTCGTCATCGTCGTTGCTGTTGCCGTCGCCGCCGTCGACCACACGACGACGCCAGAGCGCCGTCGTCAGCGTCGCGACCACCACTTGGTCGTTCCACGGTGACGTTCCAGTGCGTCGTCAGCGACGGAGCTTCGAGCAGATTTACGAGCCGCACCGGTTCGCACCGGGCCAGATGGAGGAGGTCGACCGATCGCGATCGTCCGCCGAAAGTCAGAAGGCCACGTCACACGCGGCCGCCGTGACACAGGAGCACGCCGCCGCCAAACGAAATTCCGACATCAGGAGGCTCGACGACAACAACAATAAGTTAGTAATAGATAAGATTGTGATAGCGATTGAACAATACTCTTGCATACATCATTAAATAATATCGAATATTTGTATTTAGTTATCAGTGGATTATTAAATCTGGAAAATCACTGAAAGAAAGGATATTTTGCGTTTTACTTATGGAAAATAATGATGTCATTATTTGAAGCTTATTAAAATCCGAAAATATCTTGCATTTTCCTTCTAAAAAAATAATCATGTTATTATTTAAAGCTCATTAAAATTCTAAAATGTCTTGCAGTCTACTTATGGAAAATAATTACATCACCATTTAAAGATTACGATTATTTCATTCGCTCTTACCACATTATACTTACGTAATCTGTATTCACGCAATTAGAAACAGTCCCCCCAAAGTGCTATCAACTGTGAAGAAGAAGAACTCGAGGACCGGTCTGTCGAGTGACCTGGAGATATTCACCGCCACGTCGGTAACGAGAAGCGCTCCGGAGCCCTGCAAGACCTGCGGACGTCCAGATCAGCCGGAAAGATTCCACAGTCATCCGAAGAGCAGTCAGACCAAGATCAAAGATCTCCCGACGCCGACGGCGACGACGAAATCAAAACCCGTGATGCCATCGGTACCAAAGTCTATTCAAAAGCCGGTGGCGTTGAACTTCCGCAGCGACCGGAACAGAAACAAATTGGACGAATCGGACCCGATCGTTCCTCAGGACTCGGACCAGCAAGGCCGATCATCATCCGCGCCGATGAAACGAGGTCCCAGGACTGTCACATGCTATATATGCGGCCGGGAATTCGGCACTGCCAGCTTTCCCATACACGAGCCTAAGTGCATGGAGGTAAAGGCGGCCTCGATATTGTCATGATATTCTGAAACATAATAATTGCTTGGTCAAACATAATAATTGCTTGGTCAAACATCAATTAACCATCTGACCTTACGTTAAAATTATAATCTCTATTCAACAATATATAAATGTAGTACGATACATAACTTACATTGTTGAGTAAGAAATTAGAATATTAATATAATTAATTGTTGGTTGATGTTTATCGCGTGATAGCACGATTTATTTTCTATCTCGAGTCTCCTATGCAATAAAGTCTTAAAATAGACGAAGTCTAAAATTAGAGTGAAAGGCAACTGGCATTTTGAAAGCAAGCAAAGGAAAGCAGCCAATAAATTTCTCCTTACGTGGAAGAGAATTTCATTACGGCTTATATTAATATAATAGCTTTGGAGCGATAGCGCGCATGTAATAAGTCAAGGCCCTTCCGCGAGATCGATGGTGGTGTAACGCCGCGTTGCATATATCATCGAGCTCGATATCAAGATGCATTCGTACGCATTCGTGTAACCGATGTGTCATAGTTGAGCGAGAACTATAACGCAGGCGATCGGTTGCGGCAATTTGTGCGCGCTTACACGGCCGTGTCTTCGACCGACCCGGCCGTGTTTTTTTCCCGTAACGATGGATTATTTAATGAATGCTCTATACATTCTGCATCTGCGCGTTTGCACTACTTTAACGCTGAACGTGACGCCGGGCGATACTTATCTCACGTTCACGTTGCGATCCTCGCGATCGATAAGTAAAATTCGCGCTCGCACACACTCACCCTTAAGCTAACTACGCGATAAGCGTATATATATATATATATATTTATATATTTTTTATGAAATAAGAGACATTAGCCATCGCGGAGCAATGTGCTGCAATGTAAAATTAATAAAATAGTTGTAGGTTGTACGTTATACATTACGTTGTACATTGTCATTAAGAAGTCGCGTACAACAAATGCATTCGAAGTTTTTTTATCAGAGAAAAGCGACTCTTCAAATATTTTTTTCATAATGGCAGACTTATTTACTTGTTAATTATTGTTTCATTATATTTTAGATTAGAGTATATGTTTAGATATTTATTATTTATAATAGCTTCCTATTTATTTATTATTACAAGTTTACTCAAGTCAATGTCTATATTACAGAAATGGGAACGTGAGAATAATTCGCTGCCTCCGTCTCAAAGACGGCCCAGACCGCAGAGACCTGTGGTTGGGATCGAGCACAATGATTGGAACGCAGCCGCATGGGAGCAAAGTCAGGTATATCGACATCGTCTGTTGTCGATAATATTAATCAAGTATTAAATATATCACGGGCTTGCTATTCTTACACAGAAAAAGATTTTTGTTTTAAGAGCATTTTTTACTCTTGATACGTAAACATTGAAATAAAATTAAATAGATATCATTCATATCAAAATAAATATAATTTGATTATATGAAGAAATTTTATATATAGAAAATTTTACTAAAAATATATTTTTATTATTCAATAATAATTTTCATGAACTGAAAGAAAAAGTTTTGGAAGAAAATTAAAACATTATAGTTTTAACAGAAGAATTATAATTTCTTAAAATTAAAGTTAAATTATATTTCTATTGATATATTATTCTTAGAATTAGCTATTTGTATTATTAAATTAAATTATTAAAAATTCTTGTGATAATTATTTTTTAATTTTATTTCAAAAATATCGATTTGCTAATCAAAAAATCAAAATTAATTATAATATTAAAATCAAATTATCGTATTGTTAAAATTTAAAATTATTCAATCTTTGTAAGAAAAATATATATTGTTGCTTATATACCTATATGAAACAATAATTGTATTAATTGGAATGTATTAGATTTAATATATTATTTTTTTTCTATATGTAGTGATGTGTTTCCGCATGAACAAACATTGTTATTTGCGCTTCGTTAATTTTGACGCAATGCTTATTTGTCGATGACGTAAGGATCAATTATAGCACACGCTTTAAGAAGCTCTTTGGCAAAGTAAAATTGAATGCGAAAAGAATTGGAGAATTGAAATTAGATTTATCTTCGAAATCAGAAAAAGAGAAAATCTAAGTAATTTAAATTTTGAAAAATTCGTTACTACTTTATGCAGAATAGAGTTTGCATAACTCGCAAGAAAAATGTGTATCGCGTGCGCGGTATATGAAGATTTCGTGTCGTTCACGAGTGCGTGATTTTGACGTCGAATATTAAAGACTACTCTTTAACATCTCATATGCATATGACTCTCACGAGCGCATATCAAATAAGAATTGCGCGTTGTACGAGGAGGAGCTTCGATGATTATAAAATCAGAATTGTTCCTTATATATCGAATGATTAGTGATTTTAATGCTTCGTGATTATTAACCATTTCAACTGCTAATATACAACTATTGTTGATTTAAAGATAGCTAGACAGACACTTTGTTCTTAACGAATAATCTTTTTCATACCGTTTTATAATTATTAATTAAATTAGTACTGTCTTTATCAATATCTTTATCAAATATATTAATTCATAATTAATATATTTCTTTATATAAGATTTAAATGTAATAACTATATATATTTTATTGTAATTATAAAAATACGAGAACCTGGAGTTTTTCTTTTGTAGGAACAATTAGTTCCATGTGCGAAATGTGGGAGGACGTTTTTACCGGAGCGATTACCAGTCCACGAGAGAAGTTGCAAAGCCACTCCAAAGGTACCAAACTCATTTTGCCACTTTGGCATTATGTTTTTTCAACGTATCGTTTGTTCTTCTAGAATAATGAACGATCGGCCACGCCGGCGAATACTCGAAATGTTGTACCATCCACTGTTCCCTGTCGTGTTTGCGGTCGGAAATTCGGTACTAGAAGCATTAAAATCCATGAGCCTCAGTGCAATAGACGATGGGCACAGAATGATTCGACGAACCAGCAGAAAGATCAAGCCCTCTACAGGCAAAAATCAACTGGCAGCAATCAGGAAAATTCATCATCGATGTATCCAGTAAGTCCTGAGACATGAAAAATGTTCACGTTTTAAATTTGAGTCATTGAACATCTTTTGCATAAATATTTTTTTGCATTCAATCTTTTTAAAGGGATATACTATAGTAAATAATTTAGGCTAAGGATTGTTTTAGGGCGATTGATCAAATACATTATAATTTATACAACTCGAGAAATATTTCGAATTTCATTAAAAAATCTTTTAGAAGCATTTATAAGATATCAATCTATTGGAAAATGTAAAAAAAAGAATTTTTTTAGAAATGTTACTATGCGTACTCTCTTAATATTTTACAATGACAAATTAATTCAAAATTTTCATATATAAATGTTTTTCTGTGCGAAATTACTTATAAAATAAAGCATTCTTATCTCACGCAATACAGAAAGAACAGCTAAAATATCTAAAAACTACTCCAATAGAATATCTCTGAAAATAATTTTGTTGGGTCATCAAAATAAATAAAAATAATAGGATATTTAAGAACATTCAAATTGATTGCTAGAATATAAAACAATTTTGCAATATCATCATCATGTTCAAGTATTCTATATAATTACTTTATGATTCAATAAAATTATTTTAAAAAATCTGTATCTGATCAAATTTTTTAAAATATTACAGCAAAACAGTTTTTTTCAGTGTAGAATTGTAAAATAAAGTAACTTACTGGAAATAGAACATTAGAATCAAATCATATCGGGATAATGTTCTTCGAATGCTTTATAAATAGAAAAAGGGATAAACAGATGTAAATCACTTGATTCTAGGATTTATCGCAAAAGAGGACTATTACATGTTACATTTGTGGCCGAGATTTCGGATCCTCCAGTATTGCTATCCACGAGCCGCAGTGTTTAAAGAAGTGGCACGCCGAGAATGACAAGCTATCACCGGCTCGAAGAAGAAAGGAGCCGCAAAAACCCGAGATTATATATATACGTAAGCAGTCAATATTCTCGTCCCCGTAATACTGGCACGCATACATGAATATAAACGTAATCTGGAAACTAAATGACGACAGAATTATCGTCAGAGAAGTATACATTGCACGGAAAGAATGGTTTTGCTCATATTTCTAAAAATATAATAAGGTAGATCTAAAAATAATTTTGTTGAAAATCAAAATAATTGTAATAATATAGTAATAATAATTATATATAAATAATAATTATAATAACAAAATAATTATAATAAAATACACTATAAAAGCTTTTTACATTCTCACCAATTGAAACATTCTATACATAATTATTTTGTCCAACAAAATTCTTGTCAGATCTGAATCAAATCAAATTTTTAAATACTTCAGTAAAATCATTCTTTTTGTATAGAAATATAATTCAAAATAAAAATTCAATATTTTAAAGTTGAATTAAACTTATGGACTATTACTTACTTTATTATTTTTAATTTCGTTTCGTTAAATATATTTTTTTATCTCCTTCGCCTAGCGCAAAGGCAATCTTGAAAAGGATATACAATGCTCGGAATCGATCATTTTTTCGGAGCTATATATGTAATTCCTCATTACGCGATACAACGTTTGTCCTTTCGCGCATATTTCTATCTCTCACCTTGACGTTGATTCTGAATCCGCTGTCAGGGTCAAGAGCACTACGTACAGAGTCGAGTGAGTCAATTGGGCCGAAGCGATTACACGTGCATGTATGATTTATGATTCCATAATGTTCGCCGTATCCCGCTATAGAATGGAAGTGGGTGTAGTCCTGATTAATTATACATGCACCGCAGATGTATTCTCGATCGGGAGTGCCGCCGACACGGAAAGGACAAATCGATAATCATTGACAGAACGCGGTGACAATTTTCTCCATCCATGTCACTCAATTTTCATGTTCAGGAAAATGCACAAGGATTACAAGAGAGAATTTAATTCCGAGCGTCGCCGCATACATCGAGACTCGGCGGTAACTCGTGAATCTAAATTCTCTATCAGCAGATTTGCCTCGAAAATCGATCAGTCGAGATTGTTGAGTCAGATAACAGGCAAATCATTTGCAAATCGATTTCATAATCGAGCACCTCTTTAAAAGGTACTCCTACGCTTTTCAAGGTTCGATACAATCGGCAATGACGACTTCACTGTTCGCAGAGGATCCCCGCACAGGAAATATGGTAATCGACCAGGCAGCGACGGCGGAGGTCAACTGGATGACGCACTTGAGTCAACTGGTACCCTGCAAACATTGCGGAAGGACTTTCAACCCTGATCGCGTGAACATCCATGAAAAAAGCTGCAAAGGAACCCGTTAAAAAATTCATCAACATGGAAAGAACTGAAATCTCTAGAAATTTGGCTGAATATAAATTTAGAAATAATTTTGTTGGACCACTGAATTTTTTATGGACATTCAAATTGATTATTAGAATATAAAAAGTTTTTATCATCATATTTAACTCTAATAACTAATTATTTTTATGGTCGAACAAAATTATTTTTAATTCTTTGGCCAAATTTTTAAGTACTTCAGCAAAATCGGTCCATGAATCTTCTTCACTTAAATGTTAGAACGTTATATTAATCAAATATCGCTTATGTACTTTCTAGAAGTGATTCATCTGTGTTTTTATACGAAATAACGTTAACTTTGTACCATAGCGTTCGTATGGGGACTCGCAGTTTTTTACTTAAAACTCGTTTCTGCTCAAGTTATTTTTATTAATTGCGGACGATTGTGTAATCGTCTATTATGTAATTAGTGATTTCTGAGTAAGCATCTAAAGTGATAATTTTAAAAGTGAGGCGATAATTTAGAATTCTGATTTACAACACCTGACGTGCACTTTGCGTGAACGCACGAATGTTGTTAGACGTTATCGATCAGTGATGTGCATAATTGTAACACGATTTATGTTTGATTACAATGTAAGTTAACCATCAACGTATATTATATGTACATGTCTTGGCGAATTATTATTCCAGTTCGTGGTCATCTTGGTATCGATATTGGATTAGATCGGTTCCTTCTAGGTACGCTATGTTGTACTTTTTGTACCTAAAACGTATAATTAGAGGATAAAAGAAGACAGAGAGACAGAGAAAGAAAAGAAAAAGATGAAAAATATAGAGTACTAGGCTATAAAAAAATAAACGTTTTAGCGAGAAAACTCGATCAAACGACAATTTGCAATCAAGTCTTTACAACTTACTCACAAACGGACAAATTTTATAAAATAAAGTCCATTCAAAAAAGAAACTTACGTTTGAAGATAACCCCTTCTTGCTGACTAATCTTAAAATTACTCGTTAGGAAGATTCATCTTGATTTATAGAAGTTGCAATAGAAATGTCCCGAATTAAAAATACCGAATCTTTTATTCCTATTTTAAAATCCTTACGATAATCGACGCAAGTTCTCGAAGAGATTCGATACTCGTAGATGACAGCAAGGAGTCGACCGTGGGTCTGTTCTTTTTAGATGAACTGACTGCACTAGTTCAGAGTTTATCTTTCTTCTTTCAGTGTGAGAAAGAGAGATAAACTGTGAACTAGTACAACCAGTTCAGTCAAAAAGAACAGGCCTATTTTCAATACTGGCAGTGAATATCGGAACGCAGCTAAAGATACACACTCGATCTCAAGGAGTTAGCAGTTTATAAGTTTGTTTTTTTTGGATGAACTGATCGTACTAATTCACAGTTTATCTTTCTTTCTTATACTGGAAGAAGAAAGATAAACTCTGAACTAGTGCAGCTAGTTCAGCTAAAAAGAACAGACCCAAGGAGTATATAGAAGTCAATGGCTGCGTTCAGCAGAAAAAGCAGATCAATGAGCGTTCGGTGATTTTTCAATATGATTGGTCAATTTCTTATGACTTAAAGATTAAATACTTATTGTGGACCGACACTAAGACCGACACGAACAGAATGATGACGTGGATTTCCGCGCCATGGGACACCAGCCTAAGACTTAAGAAATTAGCTAACCATAATCAATTATTCTTCTATAAATCGATTGGCCAATTTCTTAAGTCTTACGTCTTAAAATCTCATTGTAGACACCGCTTTAGCTGGTAACGTACTGCAATCATAGGCTGCGTTCAGCAGGGAAAATAGATCAGTGAGCAGATCAGTTCAGTGATTTTTTATTATGATTGGTTTTACACTTAGGTTCAACGAAGATCTAAAAGCAAGGACCACAGCGGAACGGAACGCGCAAACCAATCACAGCGAAAGAACCAAAGAAACTTGTTCATTCTGTTCGTGTCGGTCTTAGTGTCGGTCCACAATAAGTATTTAATCTTTAAGTCATAAGAAATTGACCAATCATAGTCGATTATTCTTTTCATATTCGATTATAATTGATCAATTTCTTACTTCTTAAAGCTTAAATCACCTACTGTGGACCGACACTTATGTCTTAAAGTCTCATTGTAGACGCCGCTTAATAACGAAATGAATTTTTAGTACTGCTGGTAGTGCCAGTACTGGTGAGTACATTAATAAGGAGTGAATGTAGTTGTTGTTATTAATTTATTATTGAAAAAACTAATAGCAAACGTTACAAGTAGCGCGTTAAGTACTGCAACTCTAACGTTTACATATTATTTGTGTAATAAAAAATTATGAGTAATAGAAGAAAAAGTTCAGAAGATTTGGATAATGCATTCCCTTCAAAACAAACTAAAAATACCTCTTTTCAATGTAAGTTACATTATGATTAAGCAAAGTTTTGCTAGCAATTTGTCAGCATAGTTAAATAGAATATTAAGCTAGGTTATTGTTAATTATATTTGTTTTTTTGATAATCTGTTGCTATATATGTTGATATATATTCTATTAGCAAAAATAGAATAGAATTAAATAGGTTAGAATTATTTTACAGTGAAATATATTATTTAAATTATAGCATATTCTGCTCAGTTTCTACAGTAACTTTACTATCATATTTTATTAATAAATTTTTTTTATTTCTATTGATGAAAACAAAATTTGTAGCAAATTTTATTTTCAACTGCTTTGATAATTTCATGTTATTTTACAATTTTATAAAATTTAGTAATTATTTAGAATACCGGTCTTCACTTCTGATTTTGATAAAATTGGGCTCAATCGACGCGGTTTCACTCAAAATAAAAGAATCTGACAGAAAAACGCAGCGGTCTACCTCGCGAACCGAGATATTAAGTGATAAGTTGACCACTTTTTTGATTAAAAAATTTGTCATAGTAATTCGATACAGTGCTATGTGTGCGTACTTTAGCTGCATGTGCTGTGCATCATGATGTGCAAATTTTAAAACAAGTGAAGCATTAGCATTGTTTATGACATCAGCAACAATGCAATTATTCATATTTATTCAATTATTAGCAAAAAGAGATGAATTAAGTAAATTTTCTAATTCAATGTGGTATGTTGGCATCAGTAATAAATTGTGAAAAATGAATTAAATATTAACAAGGAAACATTAATGTTTCTATGTCACAAGAGATATTTTTCATTAGCTGAGTTAAAAAAGAAACAAGTTTTGAAGTAATAGTCTTTTAAGAAAAGTGCAAAAGTAAGAACATAGTTTATTTGTAGCAATTTATACATCGAGACAATCTGTAAGATTGTAGCATGTTTTTTAATCAAAATCTGAGATGAAGACCAGTATTCTAAATAATTATCAATAATTTGATTATTATATACAATTATATAATTCATTTATTTATTTTATAAGACTTTTTTTTTTCAGCTGCTTTCAATAACTTAAAGAAATCTGAATTTTTCGAGGATTTTTCAGTCGCCAAATCTGAAACTTATACAACAAAAACTTTGAACACAATCAATACTATTCTTGTCAGCCCAAAACAGGTAACATTGTTTTATGTTTTAAAATGTAAAAATAAAATTTAAAAGTAAATATTTTGCAAATTATGTTAATTAAAATTAATATTTTTTACAGAAAATGAATATGTTAAAAAAATTTAAATCAATTATTAAAACTTAAAGAGAATTTTTAAAAATTTATGATTAATAATGTCTACAGAAAGGCAATCCATTATTGAAGTTTATAACAAATGCACTATGGGAATATTCCGACATTATACCAGATTATGTAATGGGCAAAACTACATGTGCTCTTTTTTTATCAATCCGTTATCATCAACTGAATCCTGATTATATTCATGAAAGGCTGAAATTATTAGGCAATGCTTATAACTTAAGAGTGCTTTTGGTACAGGTATGTAACTTTAGTAATATTTTATAAAATACTTAACTATGATTATGATGTTTTGTATATTAAATATGATTAAATGCAATTATATTATTAATATGCAATATTATAATATCAATGAAATTTTTCAATTTCAATCATTTATATTCATAAGTTATAATTTTTCAAGTTTTTATGTAAATTAACAAATTTATATAACCTTTTATATCTATATTAAAATGCTTCTTTTTATTTAGATTGATGTTGCTGATCCTCATCATGCTTTAAAACATCTAACAAGGATTTCCATTTTGGCAGATATGACAATGATATTAGCATGGAATGCGGAAGATGCAGGAAAGATTATTGAAACTTACAAAATATATGAAAACAAACCTCCCGATGATATTATGGAACGCAACGATATAGCGCCCCATCAAAAAGTATATTTTAAACATAAAAAGAGATTAAAAATATTTATTTACAATTACATAATTAATATTTATTGCAGTTGGTTAATGCTTTAACAACAGTAAGATCTGTAAACAAAACTGATGCCACAACTCTTCTTACAACTTTTGGTATATTAACTGACATTATAAAAGCACAACCTAGTACTTTGGCTTTGTGTCCTGGATTTGGTTTACACAAAGCTCAAAAGCTTCACAAAATTTTGCACGAACCTTTTTTACGTGCGTAAAATCAATACAAAATAAAGAAATGTATACATATATATATTGAATATCTTATGCAATGATGAAATTATATATCATATAGAATCAATGAATTTATAATTAAATATTTTTTATAAAAGGAAGAGAAGTAGTCGATATTGTATTTAATTTCTGATTTATTAAAGGGAAAAATTTAGCTGTGATTTTGAATTGTTACATCGTGAGTCTTGAAATTACATGTGATTTATAGTATAAGCATTTTGATTTTTAATTTATAAATCAAAAAAAGAAAAAGATTTATTAGACGCATTAGATCTTACTTATTGAAATTGTTTATTGTTACTATCAATTGTCCAATGTTATTTTCGACCAAATGTACAATGAAATGATATATTTATAATTAGGATTAGAAATGTTAGATTTAAAAATAATTTTAATCTAAAATAATATAATATAACAATAATATAAAAATATTTGAGGTAAAATTAAAAATTGATCTTATGTTTTATAGTTTAACTAAGAAAAATGAGGGAAAAAATGGAAAGAAACAGAAGATACATTTTTCTAAAACGTTTTTATAAAATTTTTTTTAATTTTAGCAGATTGAATTGATTAGGGTGGGAAATATGTAGGAAATAACTTTTCAATGTAAAAATATAATAGACATCATGTTACGCGATTGACTGTCAAATAAAAAATTGTTGGTATCTTAAAGATATTTTTATCAGCCGATCGCGACAGCATGCCTATAAATATTTTCATTAATATATAATACCGAGCGAAAAATTAAAACTTAATCATGGATGTAAGGATAGAATACAATGACGTGGAAGTGATAAACAAAGAGGGGAATGAAATTAGTTACGTTCAGCATAAAAAGCAATTTTGCAACTATTGTAAGATTCTTCAATAGATTGGTTTATACATTTAGATCCATTAGGAAATTAAGGGCAATCATATCGAAGAGTTTTGTCTTCTCTGCTGAATGCAGCTATTGAAAACGGATATGAGGGATTATAATGGCAGCGACACGGATAATTTTATTAGTTGTGATCTATTATAACATATGGAAATTGAGTTTATATTTTGAAACAAAGTAAAAATTATAAAAGTAAAGAAATTTATTAGATGTAGAATATCGTCAAGGACTTATTACAAATGTTTTGAAGCATTTTTTGATTAGTGCATTAGTCAAATTCTTTTTTTTTATTAGACAATCAAATCCTTCGAAGCGTAGTGTTATATTGACTATAGTCTTCGATATATAAAATCGCAGATATTCTAATAGATTTTTTCTTTTATAATTTTCATCTCGTTTTAAAATACAGAATCGGTCTCTTGATCGTTATAATCTCGAATAACATCGAATAATATAACAAACAAAAAACTGAGATATCAAAATAGCCATAATGTTTTTTCCTTTATTTCGCAGATCTTCCCCGCCTAAAAAAATATTTATATAAATATTTGTATAAATACTTTGCTCCGTCCACATTATTCTTGTAAACCAGAGTTTTGATATAGAAAAAGATAAGACAATGTGTGGGTAGAAGCAATTCATGTAAATCAGGACAGGAGATGTAAATCGTCATGCATCTGACGATATATCTGCTACTAACTTGTTTCATGTAATAAATAAGTAGAAATCATAATTATTTATTACATATATAATGATTTCAACTTACGATTATACACACGTAAAAGTTGCATTACATTTGAATTTTTCAATTTATACAAATGTGTTCTCTCGCATTGGCCGGTGGCTTAGGAATTTCTAATAGACCACCTATCAGAAGATTAATAACTAATTGTCCAATTGATAACGTGGACAATTTAGTCTATCCAATGGCAGACCCGTCGACGACGCGGCGACCGCGCCGCCCGGGTCGCGCACGGTCGGATTCGAAATCTCGCGTGTCGTGCACGCGCAGCCCGACACGCATTGGCCGACGGCGGCAGTGCGGGGGCGCAGGAGTGCGCGCCGCCGCAACGCGGCGCTCTCTTCACGCATAAGAGGCGACGTTCGGGCTCGCAACGGATAGCTTGTTCTTTCCGAGGGAGTCCGCCATAGTTGGTGCACGTATTATTTGGAACAGGCCGTCGGCAATCGGACAACATCCAAGATGGTACGTAGCCGCGTCGCGACGCCGTTGCCGCGGGTTTCTCCCGCGCGCCATCGCGTTCGCGCGACCGCCAATATTTTTCACCGATACCCCGCGGAAAGGACCCTCGCGACGGCGGTGGCGGCCAAGCACGCCGCCGAGGCTCGTCTCTACGACCGAACTTCCACACGAGGGGGGCGCCTCCTCTCCCTCCTACCCTCCTCTTGCTCGTGGAACCTCGGTGCTCGGTCGCTCGCTCCTCCTGCAACTCACCGCGGCCGCCGTCGATTACTTCGGATTGCGCAATTTGCCCCGCACGGAATCCGTCAGCGTTCCGACCAGCGAAAGAATGAATCTGGATTGTCGATCACCGCATGGGACGCGTCATCGCGGACGCGAGTCCAAGAAATTAAGCCGTCACGTTCGACGACATCGCAACGTGTTCCCCGTGAGCGGAAATATGTTCCGTCGTCTCGCAACGTGTCGCGCCTCGCGTGGCTGCCGACACGCAACGTGCTCGTTGAGGGGAAACGGGGAAAGGAGGAGGTCGGCGAGACAACGCTGTTCTTCGAAATCCTCCCTCGATCGCGATTCTCCCTCTGAAATCGAGAATCCGCACTCGGGGAAAATTGCGTCGATTGTCCCCGGAGAGTCGTCACGAGATGCTCCGAACAAAGGAAATATGTTTCGAACGGCGAAATATGTTGCAACGTGGCGTGATGGAGCTCGCGTGTCTGTCGACACGCAAGGCAACGTGCTCGTTAGAACAGCGTCGTTCCCTCGGGACTTTCGTCAACGATGATTCCGGGGACAATGGATTGAGACCGAAAATTCACATGCGAAAAAATGCTGCTAACGCTTCGAAGGGTTCCTTTGTGGTATTGTGCAACATGTCATGTAACATGTGATTACTGAAAAATGTAACGCGGTATGTAGATAGATGTGTGTCTGTAACAGTGAGATGATATCTTCTTTAAAATTAATTCGAGACAATTATGCGTATTAAAATACTTCGACGAATCTGGAGTGCGTTTCCAATATGGTTAGTTTTGGAGTCTATCACAAAGGTATTTTGTTTTTGTGACAATTAAAACATGATTTAATACTCGGTACATTGTGAAAAGGTCGTTTTCTAATTGAATTTGTGAAAGATCCATTTTTCTGCAATGTTGCAATATGTTGCAATAGTCATATGAGAAAGTATATATATATATATATATATATATATATATAGTAAGTAGAGTATAGATAACTGTTAATTTAATTTTTATATTTGTACATTTATGTGTATAGACATAAATTATTGATTAATTGTGATAGGTTTTAGTAATAAACGATTGTCCCAGCAAGATGAAATATACTTCAATTGTTGAATATCTGTTGTTGCAGGTGAACTTTACAGTAGACGAGATCCGTGCCATGATGGACAAGAAGAAAAACATCAGGAATATGTCCGTCATTGCGCACGTCGATCATGGAAAGTCAACTCTGACCGACTCCCTTGTATCTAAGGCAGGTATTATCGCTGGTGCCAAGGCTGGCGAGACCCGATTCACAGACACGCGCAAGGACGAACAGGAGCGTTGTATTACCATTAAGTCCACGTAAGTTCACGTTCCTCGTGTTCTTCCTCTGAATTTTACATTATTTATTTTCAGTACGCATTAATATCTCATTCACTGCTTTTCTTTCAGTGCTATTTCCATGTTCTTCGAACTCGATGAGAAAGATTTAGTTTTTATCAAAAATCCCGATCAACGTGACAAAGACGAGAAGGGCTTTTTAATTAATCTGATTGATTCACCTGGACACGTAGATTTTTCAAGCGAAGTCACAGCTGCCCTTCGTGTTACTGATGGAGCCCTCGTTGTTGTCGATTGTGTATCCGGTATGTGATTTTCTTTCCCTATATATCAGTCTCTTTGAAAAAGTTAATCTTCCAGCACACAAGGGTTACTCTGCAGTATACCGTTTGGTTTGCATAAACTGATTGGTATACATTGACAGTGTTGACAGTGCAATGGAAGAAGAATAAAAGCAATTGTATTTAAACGCTGTTAATGGACCTCTATCTTTATGTCCGTTATTAACATCGCTACGATACAAATGCTACATTATCCTTTTGTCATCTATGATATATCAAGATGTCTACTTTTTAGAAAAAAAGATCTGGAATTCTTATTCACTTCTTTTTTCTTTTATTTTTAAAAATCAGAATATTTTTGAATTTTATTACATATTATATTACATATTATATTACATATTCGGAAAATTTTATTTCTAAATTTAAATTTTTTCTCAGAAAAAAATTTTTGTAATTTTGATTTTACAATGCGAGCTGGTAATCATTCAAGTTAACAATCAATACGATATACTTATTCCTATATATTATGTATATATGTGTATGCTATATATGGATAACTTGCGAAATTTTATGAAAAAAATTCAATGTCCCCTTACATGAGTGAATTAAAATATTTATATTCAAATTTAAAATTTTAAACTTTATTATTCTTTGTGATCAGAAAATTAGAGAAGCACAATACAATAAAATATACAATAAAATAAATTTATTTTAAAATTTAATAATTCTTTAATTTTATCGGGAATTTTGGACAAAAATATTTGAAAACTTCGAGAATTTTCAGAAATTTTTTTTATATTTAAAAAATAGACATCTTGATTGTTTTCAAAATATATTCAGTGTTTTATAGTAATGCAATTCTTATAAGAAAACAATTGACTTTAACAATTTTGTTGAATGAGAAAAGCAATTGCAATTATTTACTTATTTTTGCTTAGGCGTATGCGTACAAACTGAAACTGTACTGCGACAAGCGATCGCTGAGCGTATCAAGCCCGTTTTATTCATGAATAAAATGGATCGTGCTTTGTTGGAACTTCAGCTTGATAGTGAAGACCTCTATCAAACCTTCCAGCGTATCGTCGAAAATGTAAACGTTATTATCGCGACGTATTCCGACGATGACGGTCCTATGGGAGAAGTTAGAGTAAGT